ATTAAATATTTTTAAATGAAATCAAAATATGGAAAATCAGCCACAACAACGATTAGCATATTGACAATAACGACAAACAATATTTTCCCCTGTAAAAGGCCGCAACCCATGGCCGAAATGTCAGGCAGATTACATCGTAGTCGTTGCAGTGTTTTAAGACTGAGAAAGCCGTTAATCAAAGCAAAATTTTAGCTTTTGAACTATGATCGGAAAATTCCTGCAGAAAACATCGGGGGAATGTTTGATAGCTTCTGAACGAAAAATCATCCAGGGAAAGACGAAAAAAGCTCTCTTGGATGAAGTTCGAGGAAAGTTCTAAGAAAAGTTGGAAAAACCTCCAGGAAACTTCCAAGACACAAAAAATTTCGGAAATCGGAAGTAACTTTCCAAAAGTAGCCATTTCCAGGGAAAGCCAGAAGAAGCTCGGAAAAACCTTCCAATAGAAGTCGAACAAAAAACCTTTGGCTTATGGTCAAACTTCCAGACGAAGACTAAAGAAATTTCTGGGAGAATTATTTGAACTTCCTGGAGAAAACGAAATAAACTTCCTAGAAATGCAAAAACTTCCTAAGGTAGATTGGAAGAAACATCTGAAGGAAGTCGGAAGTCAGACCGCTTACGGAACAGTCGAAAAAAAACAATGGCATAATTCCGAAAGAAAGAGATTCCTGGGGGATGTTCTAATGATCCAGAAAATTTTCCTGATATTCATAAAACATCCCTGAGGACTCCGCAATTTCCCTGAAACTTTCGGAACATTCCTGAAATTCACTTAGAAATATTCCATAATTCCTCGAAATTCCTTCAAACTTCTTGTAATTTTCCTGAAATTAGGGGCTGATTTGGAGCGCTCGGAACTTCCCTGATTATAATAAGTCTACCGGAAAATCTCTAATCATCTTTGAAGGTCTCTAGACTTTCTTGAAGATTGCGAAATCTCTTTAGTGGTCTCACAATTTTCTTGAATTTATTGTAACATCAGCGTTGAAGTTCTCTGATCTTCCCGATTTTTTTTAAATTTTTAAAAGTTATTCTCTTACGTTTTCTTAATTTACGTGAGCCCCTCAAGACATTGCTGAAGTTTTCGGAAATTGCCTGAGTTCCTCGGAACTCCATTATAATTTCAGAAATTTCATTGAAATTAATTGATCGGTCCTGATGTTCTCTAAGCTTCACTAAAGTTCCTGAAAACTATTAAATTTATCTGAACCCGCATAAGCGAGAACCATAAATTGACCTTACCTAAAATGGTTATAAATTGTTTATAATCCCTGCTAAACTTCAACTGAAATGGTTATGGAACTTTACATGAACGTTTAATGATAAAGTTTTAACCTTAAGTATTATAGTTTTTTGGAAGTGGACCTTACAAATAATGGGTTGTTAAGAACCATTACCATTCAAAATTCTTGTTTTCTCCATACACTTTCGCAAAGAAAACTATACTAAAACCTTTTAACTTATGGTTTGAGAACATTAATGGTAATGGTTATGGTAAGCAGTAAGGTCCATGAATGGTTTTGTAACATCGATCAACTTTATGTGGAATATATCGCGAATTGGTTGCCTGCAAATTACTGATTACCAATTCACGATATATTTCACGTAAAGTTGAGCGATAATACAAAACCATTAATGGACCTTACTGACTACCATAACCATAACCATTAATGTTCTCAAACCATAAGTAAAAACGTTCTAATATAGTTCTCTTTCCGATAATGTATGGAGAAAACAAGAATTTGGAATGGTAATGGTTCTTAACAACCCATTATTTGTAAGGTCCGCTTCCAAAAAACCATAATACATAAGGTTAAAACTTTATCACACAAACGTTCATGTAAAGTTCCATAACCATTTCAGTTGAAGTTTAGCAGGGATTATAAACAATTTATAACCATTATCGGTAAGGTCATGTGATGGTTCGCGTTTATGCGGGAAGTTCTCTGGACTTGTGAAGTTTCCAAAATATTTAGATGTTTCCTTAAGTTCACTGGAGTTCGCTGGACTTTTCTGAAATTTCCGGGTTTTTAATTTTAACAGAACTTAATGAATCTGTCTTTAATTTATCGAAACTTACACAAAACTCTGGACTTTTCTGAAGTTTCAGAACTTCTTAAATGTTTCTGCAGCCAGGGTTACTTCCACTCACTTGCTATAAAAAAAATATTTTCCGGAATTATGAAACCATGAGATGGTATAATGATAATTAGTATTTGTAAGCTACAAGAAGAGATTGTAAAGTACGTGTTTGACACATCAAATCTATCAATATTGCTTTAAGTGCGTCACAATAATCGATTTTACGACTCGTGAGCGCTCACTATGAGTGAACGCTCACGAATCATAACATCGCTTATTGTGACGCCCTGAAAGCGAAATTGACAGGTTTTATGAATCAAACACGTACTTTACATCCTCTTCTTATTACTTACAAGCAGTGATGTAAAAGTTCGCGAAAACTCACTATGACTCGCGAACTTTTTCCATGGTGAACTTCGTGAAATATCGCGAACTTTTCCAACACTGCTTACAAGTATAACATATCATTATATCATCTAATGATTGCATAATTCAAAAAAAAAACATGTTTTATAGCCAAGCTTGCAAATGCTGATTACAGCTAAAATGCTATTTTTCGGATTTATGAAGCTATGAAATATTTTAATGATAATTCTTATTTACAAGATGCAAGAAAAGAAGGTACACAGAAAAAAAAGTTGTTGAATATTACATCCAAACTGCTGCAACCAGGTCAATCCATCGGTTGTGTAATATAACGTTGTACGATGTACATCGATTTTGCGAGCAAAATTACATCCATTGATGTAATACTGTATCTGCTTTTTGCTATTACATCATTATTTCATACATCAGCTTGAATTACATTGATCGATATTACATTTTTTTTTTTGCTGTGTAAAGTGTGTATATGACACATAAAACCTGTAAACTTAGCTTTCGGAGGATCACAATAGCGATTAGCTGTAACGATGAGCAACGCGATGAGCGAGCAATCAGCGATCATAAAATCGCTGGTTGTGACCTTCTGAAAGCAAAATTGACAAAATGTTATATGTCATATCCAAACTTTACCACCTATTATTGCTTCTTACAAATAAAAATTATCATTATAGTGTCTGATAGGTTCATAATTTCCAAAAATAGCAATTTAGCTGTAATGAGCAATTGCATGCCTGTTTATAGCAAGTGGGTGGAAGCAACCCTGCTTGCAGCTAGTGTGGATCAGCAATATAAATCTGATAGCACAGACAAACAGATGTAACACTTTGAAAAAGTTTTTCTTGAAAACATAGTATCTCAAAACATATATGGACCTCAGTAACGACATCTCTCGGGCTTCTCGCGGAAAACAAGCTTGCTCGCTAACTCGCTAACAATATTGCATACAAGTTTTATAAAATGTATAGAAACGTCAAAGCGATCCGATGCCAGCGCTGCGGCGAGTAGTTCGCGGAACTTATTATATTCAAATCAACCGTTAAATGCGTGAACGAAGATACACAATGAAGAGTTACGTCTGTTTGTCTGAGCTGATAGTATCCTTGAAGTTCCGGGAAAGTTGAAAAAACGGGCGGGAGAAGATAAAAGAAGCTCGATTGCAAGTCCCGTCCCGGTATTTTTATCTAGATAAAAATAATTTGTCCAGAATAGATCAGACACGAACCAATTCAAAACTTTTGCATGCGGGTTCTTGGCTTAGCTAAATATTTCCCACGAACACGGAGCCAGATGTCAGTAGTGTGAATTATAGATACTATAGATTCCATAGATAAGCGGAGGCAAAGTATAATGTAGCCAAACGAACTGTCAGTTAGTGTAGCCAAACGAGCATGACGTCATCATGGTGTTGTTTGAGGGAGAAGTATTGTAATATTTTGAGCACAAAACGCTTTGGTCAACGGAAGAACGAAAGATAAAGCAAACCATTCCTCGGTTCATTGTTGCAAAGATTTGCTTGAAATTTTGCTCACGAAACAAAACAAAACTGCACAACGAAGAGCTCCATGATGGCATGAACTTTTTTCGCGGATGCCAGTAAGATCATTTCTTTTTCATGGTTGCCAAAACAACTTTTTGTGCCTCCACTTATCTATGGAATCCATAGTAGGGTAAAAGCTCCTATAGTTGCGGTAAGTTAGAAGCGTTAGGTTCCTATAGTTGTGTATTGAGTCTCCATGCACAACTATAGGAACCTAACGCTTCTAACGTACCGCAACTATAGGAGCGTTTCCCCTATCTATTGTGTAATTTGATCAGAAAATTTATTGTTTTTGTTATGGTCATTCATGTCGGTTTGTCGGTGGTATGTAAGTAAAACATTGTAACCATTGTATCTAGTCTACTTTGTTTGACGAAATAAATAAATAAGTAGCGCCCCCTTGTTGCTTGTTGTTCTTTAAAAATAAAATCCTCCGACAAATTTGCTTTTGCATACAATTTTAAAAATATACCAAGTTTTTAAAGATCGTTTTGTGTGACGGCATTTAAACTAATAATTACAATTTTGTCAAACACGCCATGACTGTCCACGGCAGCTGTCTCAAAGACTTAATTTTTTTTTTCAACTTACTGATACATCACAAGAAGGGCGTGTGTTTATAGAATTTTGAATTTTTGTTCTAATGTGTATGAAACAATAATAGGAGGGCGTTAACAGTAAAGGTCTAGCATGAGGAGCATCAGGAGGGCGCATGTGGTATGAAACACACACCCCCCCCCCCCCTCTCCCCTCTTGTGCACGGCACTGCTGCTGAGTACGGTGCTCTAACTCTGTAGACTGAACAAGGCATAAAACTCTAGCCAGAATTTAGAATTATAACATGTTATAAGCCTATCTTGATGACATTTTTTGTCGATAAGTATTGTAACATGTTCTAATTCCGTAGTCCCATAACCCAAATTTCATTTAAAATTTTCTTTCACAGAATAGCAATCCAGCAGATAAAAAAATAAATAAACCAAACAATATACAGGTGCTAACTTTTTTACTAGAACCAAACATGTACAAAATATTATCAATAATCTTCATCCGCCAGTTGCTGTTTTGGTGCTCGATGGTTGTAGTCTTTGATTTCCGGGTTTGAGTTGACTAGTTGGTCGTATGCTTCTGCAATTCGCAAGCATTCTTCCGTCGATAGTTGAAACGATCTGGCTAATGGATCGACGTTGGCCATTCTAAATGTCAACTGTGTTAGTTCTTCACGTACCTCCGGAGGATACAGATTAGCCACACCTCTGCGACAATATTTCTGCCGCATGGAAAAAATGTGACGCATTACCTTTTCCACCACATCGAAATGTACCGTTGTAAGAGGTGTTTTCATTGGGATTATAGTGACTACACCGACGTCCACATCTGGTTTAGGGACAAATGCTTTTCCGGGGATGATGAATTTCAGCTCCGCTTTACTCCAAACCTGGTTCATAACCGATAGCCGGCAACGATACTCGGAGAGAAGTGGAGCAACTATTCGTTCAGCGACTTCCTTTTGAAAAGTTAGGGTCAAACTACTACGCCCAAATGACCATGCGCCGGTCTGGAGACTCATTTCACGAAGCCAATTAATGAGTAGCCTAGTCGAGATAGCAAATGGCAAGTTTCCAATTATATGAACCGGTGCACGTTTATCATTCCATTCTGTTTTAGGGCAATCTGGGAAGGCCTGTTCAGTTCGATACCCGAGAATATCGCCACGAACAATGTCCATTTGAAGGAAATCTTTGGAAGCTTCCGATAAAAGCTCCAATGTTGGTAAGAAACGTCTGTCTTTCTCGACTACGACTAACTTGCGGGGAAATTGTCTGATAATAGATCTTGTTATGCCTCCTGGTCCTGGACCGACTTCCAAAACATAGTTATCTTTGATGTTACCAGCTGCTCTAACAATTTTATTTGTCAGTCTTTCATCCATCAGAAAGTTCTGCGAAAGCTGCTTGATAGCTCTGAGCTTGTAGAGACGAACTAGATCACGGATTGTTGGTAAAGGTGGAAGGCGAGCACCGGTCTTTACTAGGGATTTTATAGCTGTAGATGAAGACATGGCTAAAGATGTTTACTTATCCTGAAATTAAGTTTCAATAAATGAAGAGCCATTACGCATTAGCTTGCAGTAGTTACCTAAATTCTATAAAAGAAGAAATTGTCCGCTTATTGCTTTTGCGGTACTTCCACCTTCAAAGGTTCCTCAAAATCGTCCAAGAATCGTTCCTGTTTTACGGAATACATAGAGTAGAGATAAATCCCGAGAACGGTTCCGCCCAACGAGAGGGCAGTGATTTTGCTGTTCCTCCGCTGGCGTTGCAACTTCTGGACCCGTTGCAAGTTCTGCTGTTCAATCAGACGCATAAAATCGATCTCCGACTTTTTCAATTTCTTGGTTGTGTCGTCGATTTTCAATCCGTGCTGTTCTGGACCCGGAGACATTGTAGAATATGAGGAAAATGGAGAACTTTTTGCACAGGTTAAAGAATTTCGCGATTTTTTCACCTTTTACATCGGAATCGGCTAGTCACGTAAAACCACACAAACTGCACTGTCGCTCAGTGACATAACAAACATGTGCAGCTGTCACATTTTTGACACTATTGTCAAATCAGTACGCAGCCATGTTGGAACGGAATCGAGCATTGGTCACCTTTTTATTATTCTCTTGAAAGAAATGTTTGTACACAAAATCATCTGTCTGGCGAGAAAGACAACAACGTAAAAGAGACAAAATCAGAGAGACGACGGAGGAACTCTCCGGAACCGCTGGTCGTTCACGGTTTGCAGATCTGATCGGAGCCGTCTCGTCTTTCAGTTCACATCAGTAGTCGCTAGCAGCTGAGAGCGTGCAGTTTACCTTTTCAAATCCGTTGTAGCACAAAGTGCGTTGTTAGTAGACAGCAGGAAGAAAACAAGGGCCAGCAGCGCAGAAAATAGTACCACAAAATAGTGTGGAACATTTTGCGTCGTCGTTTTTTACGCTGGACTAAAAACACGAGGAAAATAGATTTCAGTCATTGCCCGTGAATAGATTATTGCATTCGAGTGTGAAGATTGTGAATTACTTGTGCTGTTCTGTTGCTGCTGCAGTTCAACCTTTCAACGGCAGCCGTCGAAAATTCCTAGTCGAGACTGGCACTGCATCGCATCTTAGAGGCCATTTTTAGAATTGGTGGAAAAACGACCAGGAAAAATCCGAAAGAAAGTCATTGCATACATCTATCGTTCGCTCGGTGCGGTTGAAAAAAATCAGGTGAGGAATCGTTTGAATTAGGGTCAGGAAAATGCAATAACTTCAGACATAAAGCGAATGGAAGATTAGTAATAGCACTAGAACATACACTTGGGCATTGATTGGCTTAGGGTTTACAGTACCGGCCGAAAAAGCAATACGTTTCGGTAAATGGTTCGATTACCACCTCTCATATTTTTAATTTTATTTTTTCACAAGTTAATAGGATGATTAGGTAATACCTATCCTATTTATACTACTGTTATTTTCTCGATTATTTTTGTTTTAGGGAAAGACTACACGAAACGAAAATCAATTGTTTTATTCATGTGTTTCACTTATACATTGTTGCCAAAACATCAGCCTTATACATTTTATAAGACAAACCACATAGGACCTATAAGAATGCATAAAAGGTATGTGTGACCGCTTATACATTTCATTCGACACATGATCTTCATTAACTTTTTGCAAGGCGTCTGCTTATTAATTGACTTACACATTTGATGAATAATCAGCAATATAAATTTACCAAAAGGTATACGGAGATTTCTATCCGTGTAGACTACATGAGAAGCATTTGAATCTTATTAAAAAGAGTTTTGCAAAATCATGATTATTTTAAACAAATTTAGAATGCGTGCAGGGATAAACAGAGATTGGCCAGTGCTGCAAAATATCAATATCAATACCTACAAAATGCTGATTTTCACTAGCCACCTGATGTCAGTATCAGTTCAGACAGAATATCAATATCATCCGACTCAATTCCGCCAGTGCGCAAATCAGGTGTAACATTTGATAACGGCACAAAAGCTTTTGTAAACAAAAGTTGTAAGGCCCCTTACACGCAAACCAAAGAACGCCCACGTAAACCAACAACATCATCCACTGGGGGAATTTTTTCCCTTTCTGTGTAACTCGCCTTACAATTTTTGTTTACAAAAGTTTTTGTGCCGTTATCAAATGTTACGCCTGAAAGGACGTTGACATTGTAAAGGCAACACTGATATACAAAGTTTTAGCAATGTTTCTTATATACACCAGCTAATAGAGTACCGTTATTTAGAAAACTCATCAGTAATCTTTTAAATGTGTCGAACCTCTTAACGGAATCCCTTTATGAAGAGCTTTGAGTGTGTTCGTTTATTTCCTTTTAATTCCGCTATAATTGCTTATCTTTTGACTGATACGCGTATTTCGTCAAGTGGTGTTGGCACTGATGAAGTCTGCAAGTAGTTGACGAAATACGCGTATCTGTCAAAAGATAAGCAATTCTAGAGTAACATTTGAAATGGGCCTATGTCCAAAACGTAAACAAACCAGAAAATGAATTTTAAATTTTGACCGCCATTATTCAATTCATATTTAAGAAAATTGAAGTATTTTAGGCATTTATATTGTTCACAATAACAATAGTAACTGTATCTCAGTATACAACAGCCAAAATATACGAAAAGCTTTCAAAAATATGTGAAAATCGATAACAATATAATTTCATAAATTAATAAGCCTTTTTTGGGAATCTTACAATGGATAGGCCCTTTTTGTTAAGCCGTTGTGCTTGTCATCAGAAATGGTAGGCCCTTTGCTAAGCCTTTTCGCAACGTCAAATAAATTCAAAACAAATCATCGGCCCTGCCTCAAGCAGTAGGGCCTAGCTTTGGTTTGAAATTTTTCAATCATCGGCCCTTCTACGTCACTAGGCTTATCAATGAAATGAAATAAATGAATGGTTGGCCGTTTCAGCGTGCGGGCTTATTAATGAATCGAAAAATTTCGTTGATCGGCCGTTTCGAAAATCGAGTTATTTTTAATGATTTTTCTCGATTATGCGGAACTTTCTTACACGATTAGTAGCTATCAAGCGGTGCTAAAGAATGGTATCAAAACCCGATTTGTTTACGTTTTGGACATAGGCCCATTTCAAATGTTACTCTAGAATTATAACGGAATTAAAAGGAAATAAACGAACACACTCAAAGCTCTTCATCAGTAATATCAAAACAATGCAACGGTCATACAAAAAATTGATTTATTGAGATAAATGTAAGATTTTCAACTTTTCCCTAATAACATTTGTATGGTTATTTTACTTAACAACGTGTTGTGCTAGACCAATATCTTACGTCAATTGACATTTTTGACAGCACGCAGCACTGAGTTTGGCACTTACGTGCCTGACGTTTTACGACCTAAAATGTTTAAATTTAAATCATGTCGTCAGCTCTCAATAAATTTGAATGAAGCAACTTTAAATACCTAGTCCTGAAATTGGTTCTACTTTGCATATGCGTAAAATTTTAGAATACTTTTTTTCAATTAAATGTTTTAAAATGAAGTAAGTAAGTTCATATTTTCAGTACTTACGCCACTGCATTGATTTTTTTATAAGGTTTTTATTTTTCCAGGCTCATTTGCCAACTTTGCGGAGCCGATATTCATTGTTTAGATCGCTGTATTGTTAAATATTTTAAAATTAATACACAAATTAAACTCAATCTGAACACATCTTAGGAACTAGAACCAATTGCTGATCGATTGAAAGTTGTTTCAATAAAATCTGTTGAGAACTGACGACATAATAGCAATTTAGCTTGTTAGGCCGTAGAACGTCACCCTGATAAAATTATAAATATACTACTTAATTTATTTTTTGTTTTAATTGTTAACAACAGGCTCACTTTAGATCCCACTGCTGGTTTGAAAAACAAACCTTCATTCTTGTTTAATATCATTTTCACCATGAAAAACCGGGAAAAAACCAGGAATTTCATAAGTCCACCAGGAAAATAATCTTGTTTGTATAATTTAAATAGGATCTAAATTTTATGTATGTCAAAGTTTCTTTTTATAATCAGGTCAAAACTAACCATTTTGTTCAAGCTAAATTTTCACACAACTAAACATTGATGAACAAAATTTACCCTGAGAATTTAGTAAATATATTTTGTATTTATTTATTTTTCTCGAATCAATTGCATGTATGATTTGTGCTTAATTGATAGCAGACTTAAGCAGTGACTACTTTGAAGTACCTGTTCAACATGTTCAATATAAAAGTTCTATTTCTAAGAACTTCAGATAAGGCCTTCGAACTTCATGCAAGTTCTATAAAATTCGGGAAAGTTTTACAGGTTTCAGAGAAGTTCTACGAACTTCAGAGCACTTATTGCTTGCATCATAAGGAATAAGTGCACCGAAGACACCAAGACGATTAGACGTAAACTTGCAGTTTTATCACACTTTTTAATAAGTGAAAACGCGCTTATTAGTCCAATTTGGTGTGAAACGCGCAATAATACGAAGCAAACTGAAAACTATTGTGCTACCTATTTCCAGACGATATAATCGGTACAATAGAAAGCCAAAATAACCCACTAGCGACAGTCAATTTTACGCTCGCTCTGTACGTTAAACACAGTTTCGGGAGTAGTGCACTGTAATCGCAAAATAATGCGCTATAAAGTGCATTACTTCCGGTTCCTACACTAAATATGTTCAACGTACAGAACGAGAGTAAAATCGACTATCGCTAGTGAGTTATTCCGATTTTCAAGTGTGCACTCAATAAATGAGAATAAGCAGTTTGATCGTATGTAGCGTCAGTAAACGGAACAGTACAGGTACTGCTTCAACCGTTCAGCAGCAGCATCAGCAGCAGAAATAATGAACAGAAATAATAATTCTGTTGATTGTCGACCGAACTGATCCATCTTGCAAAAACGTAATCTGCTCTGCTTGGCCTGTAGTACTCCTAGTGCACAGACTGAGGTGTAACAAAATTTCGTTTACCTAGTTATATTATTCCATATGGAGTTTTATACAATTATAGCGTCCAAAAGTACTTCTTACCCTTTCATTGAAATTTAACCTGATGATTTAGTGCATTACCTTTAATGAAATTTTATAAGATATAAAAAACAACATTTCTCAGTTAATATCTGGCATTTTCTAATTTATTTTGGATCGTTATAATTGCAGCAATGGGCAATGGATACGGTTTGGCAGTGTGCTCAGTGGTGTTTTTGTTTTGCGAGATATCCACGAAGAAAGTGAAAGTGTTTACTCGTACCAGTAAATAACATTCAAACTGCAGCCAATCAAATGGCACGATTTTTATACAACTTTGACATGTTGTAACTTTATTCTGTAATGACCAATTGAGCTGAAATTTTGGCACATAACTATAAATATATTCTTTAAACAAACGAGACTATTATGCAATACATAAAGTTTAAACATGTTTACTTGTGGTGCAATTAAATATAAATTTCATCAAAATACTATATAATTGAATTAAAAGAATGCCTCCAGCGTACTCGGAGGCAGTTAGCGGCAGGGTTATTTTTTGTGGCAACGATAAACAAAGACAGCTTGCATCAACTTATACTGATTCACATCGCCCAAATCCACCCGAATACAAAACAAATTTATCTATTTTTGCATTTTTTTGCTACTTATTTAAAACACCGTTGATAACTCATGCTTGATTCAAATTAATGTGTTCTCAATTACCTGCCTGAATAGAGTCCATCCTAGATGTATTTTCAAATATATAATTTGGGATGATTAGCGGAACAGAGTCCTCAACGACGCAAAACAAAATTGTACGAAATCACACGACCAACTCGTAAGCCAACTTTGAACTGCTACGGCAAGCAAACAGAAACGAAAAAGAGAAAAACAAGTATAGGGTATTGTTCACCTATTATTAACGTTTCCAATGCACTACTTTATTGATAGTTAGCCCCCTTTTGAAAAAATGGGTTTTGGCCAGCTAGATTTTCCAAATACCCCTCCGTGCGTCGGTCAAAACTTGAGAGCTGGTTCATTCTAATAGTGTTGTTCTGATGAATGTGCTGTTAAATTCAAGTTTGCTACCCATGAGACTTCATGAATTTTCTCTAGATTTTGACACTGCCTTCTATAAAAAGATGTTCGGAAGTGTTATATTCTTTAATTCACTTCAGTCGAAGAGTTATCCTTGTAATAAAAACGTAATTTAAGATAAGTTATGAAGTTCTCCCGTTTCCGATAGTGTTCTTGGTTTGCGTGGGCGTACTTCGGTTCGCGCGAAAAGAGCCATACAAGTTTTGTATAGAAAAGATAATAGGCCTTTTTCAAATGATACGTATCAGGCGTTGTGACAAATATTGACGCTTGTTTTTCTGAGCGTAGCGGATTCCGCTATTTTCGCGTATTTGAACTTTCAGTCGTGAAAATCGTGGAAACATTAAATGATGTTGCGAAAATTACAGAAATTATTTTAATAGCACGAATTGCTTATAGTTATTTTAGGAAAAATTATCACGATTTTCTTTATATCGTGTATATCGTGTAATTTTCATACAAAATGATCAACTTTGACATGATGTAACTTTGTTAACTTATGATCAATTGAGCTGAAACGTTCACCACAGAACTACAAATATGTTTAATTTAACGATTACAAAATACCGAGGGGGGGCGACTCTATATCTAAGATCCAGGAAATTTTTGCGTTGCTGTTGTGAGATGCACTCGCGCTTAATAGATAGAAACACGATTGATTGTGATTTTAAAAATTTCCTGCAAAAAGGTAAAGAGCGAAGCTAGTAGATGGGTTTAGATACAAGAGATGAAAAAAGATTGTTCGTAGATTGATTCGCTAGTGTGAGATTTTTCTACCATAAAATCGAGATTTAGATGTGTCGCACCCCTTGCAAAATACCAAATTTTTGGAAGCACCTGTTGGAAAGTGAGACACTAGGTAAAATTGTTCTGATATTTTGTAATCGTAAAATTGAACATATATGTAGTTCTGTGGCGAACGTTTCAGCTCAATTGATCTTAAGAGAACAAAGTTTCAACTTGTCAAAGTTGACCATTTTGTATGGGAATCGGCATGCGCTGCTATTATATTGAACACAGGTGTATGTACAGAACAGTGATGTCAACATTCCAGTTTAAACTGGATTCTTCCAGTTTTTTTCTGGACGCATCTAGCCAAACATTTAAAGTTTGATTTTAAGAAAGCTGGTTTCTAATTGCGTAAAAAAATGTTATTTTTGGTAAAACAACAACTTTATTTCCACAAACGATTTAAATACATGATGATCAGATTTAAGAGATTGAATGTACAATCAAAACCATTAAAATTGTAGTTTAATATTTATTTAAGTATGAGATGAACTTCCTAACTGGCTGAAAAAAAATCATTCAGTCTAAGATCTCATAAAATATCAAAGAAGCGCACTGGAAAATCGGAAAAAACGGAAATTCGAAGTCACCGGGAATTTCGATGACAGATCGGGAAAAAAATTGGAGAATATTCCGAGAGTCGAAGTGACTTTTGCAACTAGTGAAGTGAGAAAAGTCACTTCGTGGTTATGTAACTCTCCATTTGATTTGCACATAGAGTCACGTGACCACGACGTGACTTTTATCATTGCATTAGTGACGAAAGTCACTTCGACTCTTGAAATAACCCCCATTTACTTAACCTTTTTTTGCAAAAAATAAGATGTTTTACCTTTTCAAATTCTAAAGATTCAAGGACTAGACTAAATTGTTTTTTCGAAGGAATTTTGAGAAGATTTAAAAATGGATAACACCAGGATTTTTTAGAGAAAACACAAAAAAAAACTACGGATGAGTAAATCAAAGGGTGTTTTGGAAAGAACTTTTAATGATTTTAGACTTTAACTGCATGTCACTTGTGTGAGTTCAGAGCAAAAATTTTTAATAGCTCTATAGAAAATTTCAAATCAATTGTGAAGATGAAACCAGGATCCGTGAAAAATCCATGTAAATCGAATTTTGAGCGTACAGTTCCAAAGAATTTCTGCTGATAATTTAATGAAAATTCAGAGAAATTCCAAGGCCACCACGAAACGAATTTTGTTGAGAATTTTAAGGAATGCAGAAGAATTTAGAGGAGAGATAATTCTAAAAAGCATCAAGACAATTCTGAAGTGATTTTTTTTTTTTTTTGGATCCAAAGGAGAATTAAATTGAATTTCGAAAATAATTACAGCAGGAATCTTAAGAAAATTCCTACCCACTTAAAAATTTTCGCCGAGATTCCAACAGCCCAGTAGTTCTGCAATTTGTTTTGCTTAGATTCAATAAAACAATTGCCGAGACTTAGCTTACAAATATCATTTTGCTGAGATATCAGCTAACAAACAGATATTTTGGAGATATATCAGCAAAAGTAAATGCCGAGATAATCGGCTGTTGGAGATTTTACCGAGCTAGATTAAATGTGTACTGTGTTACCTGACTTATAACGAATATACGTTGTATACAAGTACTCCGAATACAACGTATAGTTCGTCTAATTTTACATTGCAAATGCTATGCAAAATTAAACGAGTCAAACATTGTGTTCGGGGTACTCGTATACAACGTATATTCGTTATAAATAAGTCAGGTAACACAGTAGACAAAGCTAAGAAAATCTAAGGATGAATGTCATGGTTTTTTAGGGACTGTCAGAGAGAATCTCAATCTTATTTTAGAAGAATGCTGAAATAAACGCTGCAAAAACATTCAAAAGAAAATGTTTGAAAATATTCTAATACAATCTTGTAAAGATTTTTGATTAAATCTTCAGGTAAGTTAAAATACAGACAAATTTTGAAGAATTCGAACACAGGTTGCTATCTTAGTAATGACCCATTTGTGATCCTTTCGGCTTTTGGTGTTATGCTTAATTGTGATGTAGGGGAAATGGCTCTAATGTTGGTCTATGGATCTAAGATTGGGTCCATCGCTAAAAATCTGCTATTTATAAATTTTATCTAGATGAACGCTTCATTGGGACGGTACTAATGGATATTTTCAGTCGCTATTGAAAATTTAGTCGATTGCTCAATGTATGTATGAGTCCAAATTAGAGACATTTAGGCCGACATTACATCCATTTCCCCTATATCGCATAATCGGAAAAGTTCCAAAATTACGGGCAAACATCACCAGAAACTATTCATCTAAGAACTTTCCAAAGTTACACAATCCCAAAATTAAAAGAATGAAGTCTCAGCTATTTGATTAATTTCAAGTTCGCAACCTTAAATTTCAAAGTTCGGCGTTTCAATTATTTTTGTTAGTTTTGGATCTTGAAAACTTCTCACTTTCGCTAATCTTCTCCCTTCCATTTTAGGAATATTTAAATCCAGGATTATATAATTTTCTAAGCATAAAATCTTTAAAAATCTAAGCCTCAGGATTTCAATTTCTAAAATCTTGACATTTTTCTGTTGAAAAAATTGATATTTTTTTTAAATTTCCTCCATAATATTTACGCTTGAAAATCTTCTGCAGAACACTCTCTGAATTCACTCTGCAATGCTTCTCGTATTATTATTAATTCAACCAATTCCCTCAAAATTGCAAAACAGCAAAAAACCTTCTGCGAAAGAAAGAATATTTGAGTGTATTTTTTTTTGTAAATATGGGTTTTAACTTTTTTTAAATTCATCAAATACTTCTCAAAGATTTTGCGTCATAAAACAACTTATCCCGTGGAGACCAAAATCCGTACAGGATTGAAATCCGTGCACTTCATACAAAAAGTGGGTAGTTTTGTATTAAATGTACGGATTTTGATTCATTTCTTAGATGTACGAATTTCGGCTCCTACGGTATAGATGAAGCCTATGTGCAGAGGCTTTGAAATTTGTTAATGCTTATCACTTTAAAATGTTCTGGATAGCTAAAAATACATTTATTCACGTTAATATATCATATTCCATCTGACTTGAACTTTGAACGATGTTTAATGCTAATAATAATCGATCCAACCGATCGTTATTTCTCCCGGTACCGGAAACCCTACCTTTCGATCATTGCTCTCTCAAGTGAACGTTCTATTGCCAACAACTGGATAAATATTCCACCGACCACCTCGTCTGAAAGTGTGTGCGTGTTTGCAATCAAGGGTCACCTCTTTTCGATCGAAATATATGTACGTTTGCATCAAGAAACCGCTAGCAGAGTGTTATTGCACAAGTTTTTGCTAAACCACCTTAATCTTGAGAAGAGAGGAAAAGTGAATCGAGGAAAAAATCATCGAAGCGATACCAAATCAATCAGGAAGCAATCAGTGTGCAAAGTGAAGCAGGAAAATTAAGCATTCCCGTGTTTAAAAGTGTGTGCATATGGTTTTTTTTTTCTTGTTTTGCAGCTATTATAACACAATAGAAGAAAATAGTGAGTGAGTGATTTCACACTTTTAGTCGGGTGGTGCGCGTGGTCTTTCAATTTTCCTTCTCGCCATTGAATTGCGAAAGTCGGCTTTTGATTGATACTCGACCCGCACTGAAAGCGCTGCCAGGAGTGTAACACCAGCTGTAGCAGCGAAAATGCCTTTCATCTCGAAGGATTGGAGATCACCCGGCGAAGCCTGGGTGAAAACGGAGGAAGGCTGGGAAAAGCTGAAGGTGTTGGAATGTGTCAAACGGAAAAGGTAAGAAGGATTTAGTTGCAAACAAGTAGTTGGCATGTTGTACTCTAGTTGGTGGAAGTTGATCTAATACCACTTGTAGGTTTTTGCAGTTTGAATGTTTCAATGCATTTTTATATTACTTTCGCTTTACTGCAACGAACATCAGGGATGAAACTAAGGTCATATAAACATGTTGTCAGTACTGAAGCCGGCTAAACAAAAACATATTTTGTTCATCATTAAATTGGGTAAGACTTCATTGCTAAATACTGCACTCCAATTGATGAAATATATCGAGTTTATTATCAAGAAGCTCATAATTGCTTGATTGTAACTTCACTTAAAAGTATCATAAATATCGCATCAACGATTGAACAGACTGTCTGCCGCGAAGATTTCATCACTGGGTCGCTCGACCACGAGCAAATATGTACGAACGATGATTATGAAGGAAAGTTCTTTGTTCGCCACAGTTGCTCTTTTTTCTGCTCTACGTACATATGCAGCTACCCAAGGTAGAGAGCGAGAGGCTTCCATCCAACACCTGATTCATGCGCTCGCTGGAAGTAAAACGGTCTCCTGTTTTGCTCGCGGGATCCAAATAAACACGCGCGAGAAAACGTCAACAAAAACATTCGTGCGAGAGCCAAGTCAAATTGCAAAGAGATACGCCAGCAAAACGCGAGAGGGTCATCAGCTGTGCTGGACAATGTGCATTTTTATGTATACCAATTATTTGCGGTATCGAACGCACACAAAGACACAACGTGCAAGTAGTAAACCTTTACAAACAGCAAAAACATATGATTTCCATTTTTTTTTTCTTTTTTTTTTCAAGCACTTCTTCAAGTCGCCATTTTAATACACCGCGTTTCTATGGTTTGATTCGATTGTGCCTTCTTACCTAACGCTGTTCCTTTTCAAATAATGTCAGTGCAATTTATTGCTGTTATCTCGGGTTTAATTTTCACCAATCCAGATATTCGATAAAAAATTAGTCAATTAGACCATTTCAGTTACAATCAAATACTTAACAAGTAGGGTAAGTGAGCCAGTTATGGCAAAATATGCGCAATGGAAACAGTTTTCGGTCCTACCCATTTAAATCACATACGCTATGACTGGTAGATGCCAAATCTGTAGCAAAATTTAAATAGTGCGATTACTGGTTCAATTCCACTATTGTTTATCTAGTTAAACATTTTTTTTCACCTTTTTATTCATTGACACATGAATTGTTTCGGATAGGCTATACATTATAACAAGACATCATTCTATTTAAAGAAAAAAAACGTTAAAATGTGTTCTTTGATTGATAATTTGTTTTTGTCAATTTATTTGGTAAAACTCAACGTCTTAATAAAACTTTACAGAGCCGAAAGTCTTTAAAAACAAATCTACAATACATAAATAAAAACACTATTTCGAAGCAGTGTCGTAGGTAGGGTGACCTGATGTTTACTGATTGGAGACATCCCGTGTGCTTTAAAACTTGATTAATATCTGGACGCAAGAAACTAGCTCTATCTCGGGATTGCTTTGATGAAATAAAACGGTTGAGCAGTCAAAATGAAGTTTTTTTTTTGTTGCCCTTTCAGGAAAAAATATCATCAGTCTTACTCCGATTTGGTTTTGATGAAATGACGAACTTTTCTTCAAATGCATCTTTTGGACACTCTGTTCGTCAACTTGAACGGCCCTTTTATTCCACTATCGAGATGAAGAGCAGCATCCCGAGCCTTTTTTAGCTTCCGCTTAACAATTGCCCAATATTTCTCGATTTAGCGAAATTGAGGTGGGTTGAGGTTTTTTTCGATGAAATTCACCCTGTTGTCACGGTACCACTGAAGTGTCTATCGACTGTATTGGCAGCTAGCCAAAACTTTACAGTCTTTGTGTGCTTTGATGAATGGAAGAATGCGTTTTTTTTCAGGCGCTCTTCCTTGTAGCGCTTCGAGTTTATAGACTCATTTGTAACAGAAACTTGAGTTTTTTGTCCGCAGCTGAAAATCGCTGGCCAAATCAAAAAAAAATTCTAGGGAACTCATCAGCAAAAAAATATATTTGTTGGGGACATCTCCTCGGGAAAAGCTGCCCAAAGTCAATCAGTTTCGTCGTCCATCAGTAAGCATCCTGGGTTACTCGTGAGAACCTCTCTATATAACTCGAACGCGCTCGGACGTGTTTTGGCCATACAGTTCTGTTTCAGTGTCTGATTTGGCTGCTTGCTGGCACGATAAGAACGATAGCCTTCGCGTAGACGGATGTTGGAATTATAGTAGTCCTGGGTTTGCTCTAATTGTTCCAATGCAGTTGCCGATCGTAAGCTCCACTACGACACTTACTGTGATCCTTACGAACAATCTTTCTTTCGGCTTCCATCTGTCACAATTTTTTTTTAATCTTAATGAATCGTAACAAAACTATTACCACTGTAAGAGGAAAGCTTTCCAAATAATCAGCTGTCAAAACATTCAAAAATCGACCACTATGCAGTGCTGAGATTTGTCATTGTCATTGACCGACTTTCGCGCGATATTGACAAAATTGACAAAGTCGAAAATAAAATTCCCTAACTTTCCCTGACTTTCCAGTCGGTTTTCAGAAAAATTCCTGTCCACAAAACTTCGTTATTTTAACCTAAGAAGCTACAACGTGATGTGCTTTATTATACCGTAGCGTAAATTAAGGTTAGTTTAAAATGAGCAGCAGGGTAAGCTTTCGAAAATATCAAGAATAGCAAACTCATGGCACTTACAACAGAACTTGATACTAAAGGGTGTCCACGATGAAATCGCCACACTATGAAATTGCTCTAACTTTTTAACCGTTGGGTAGAATTTAATGAAAATTTGGGTGGATTTAGTTCATAGTGCATTATTTACATCCTGCAAGTTTTAAAGTCCTGTTATCAAAACTCGCGGAAATGGAGTCGAAAGAACAGCTCGTGCGTGATAAAATCTTGCGCATTCATCACGAGAACAAGGATCTCTCGCATCGTTCCATCGCTAAAACGTTGGGAATCGCGAATTCCACGGTGTCGCGAGTGATTAAGCGGTTCGAGGAACGGTTGACCACCGATCGGAAGCCCAGAAGTGAAGGAAAAAGTATTCCGTACAACACCAAAAATCACAACCGCGTAGTTGGGGCCTTCAACCGAAATCCGAACGCCTCCGTTAGGGATGTGGCTAAGAAGCTGCACCTAAGCCGAAGTTTTGTCCAGAAGGCCAAAACTAAGGCTGGGCTTCGAACGTTCAAGGTAAAAAAGGCCCCTAATCGCGACGAGAAGCAGAACAAGTCCGCCAAAACCCGTGCCAGGAAGTTGTACCTCAACATGCTGACGAAAGTTGAATGCTGCATCATGGACGACGAAACATATGTGAAGGCCGACTTCAAACAGATCCCCGGCAACCTGTTTTTCACGGCCAAGGATAAGTTCAGCGTTCCGGAGCATGTCCGCACTCAGAAGATGTCCAAATTTGCGAAGAAATTCCTGGTTTGGCAAGCCATCTGCACGTGCGGGAAGCGGAGTTCACCTTTCGTGACCCAGGACACGATGAACGGACAGGTGTACATAAAAGAGTGCCTCCAGAAGCGGCTGCTTCCTCTCCTGAAGGCCCACAACGTCCCAACAATCTTCTGGCCGGATTTGGCCTCATGCCACTACTCCAAGGACGTTGTTCCCGAAGGGAAACCAAATTTTTAAAGCAGCAACTTTTTTTTGATGCAACGCTTAAACTGTAATTTATTTATCATCAATAAATAATCATAATAATAATTAAGTAAATTACTCACAACAAAGTGGTTTCCTTTACCACTAGACTCCGTTTTCTGATTTCCCTCAATTTGGCGAACTTGAGTACCGCTACCCTCACCGTAATCTGTTTGGTGGGTTTTCTGGGAGAAACACAATCAGGTAAGTAAATGAATTAATCTCACTTCTTCTCACTACTTACAGCTTTGAACCACGATTTGAACCGACCGATTCTTGTTGCACTATCTGTTAGCTAATTGCGAAATTGAACTCAATAAACCACTTTTACTGTTGAATTTAATTGCTACAAATTGCACCGTAAACAACCGACTTTTGTTGCAATGGCGAACTTATCCTTTTCTATCTGTTTTGTTTTGTTTTCCTTATGTACTATCTCCACTATCATCTGTATTGTTTTGTACTTTCTACTACTAACACTCCAGCGCGCGAGCTGTCATGCTGCAGCTATGCTCGTTAACTAGGGGTGTCCAAGCGGCGTCTCAACACCCCGGCCCGTAACATCCGGCATTCTAGGATTTTCCTTACCTCCATCGCCGCTAGGTTCACCACGCTCTCCATCCGAGCCCTTCATCACCGTCTCTTGCTTTGGCCACTGCTCTTGCGACCGATACAGGAACGCTGGCCCGTTAAACCATTCTCCTTCACTTTGCAACGGCGGACCTTGTCCCCACTTCGTCAGCACGTCTGCGATGTTCAGCTTGGTCGAAATCCATCTCCAATCTTCTACCTTCGTCAGCTCTTGAATCTCACCGACCCGGAATGCAACGAATTGCTTATATCGGTGTTGATCGGAATTGAGCCAACTGCACACAGTGCGAGAGTCCGTCCAGAAAACGGTGCGACTGATCTGATAAGAGTGCGTGCCCAGGATCGTTTGACTCATCCGAGCACCCATCAACTCCAGTCGTGGAATCGATTGACGTTTTATCGGCGCCACCTTCGCCCGGGACATCATCAGACTGCAGTGAACTTCTCCTTCGATGACCGCTCTCAAGTATGCTACGCAGCCGTATCCATGTTCGCTGGCGTCGGTGAAGATGTGTACTTCCATCGAGTCGACTTCGGCAGCCTTGGCACTACCGATATAGCAACGTGGAATCCAGATAGGTTCAACCTCTGGCAGAAGATTTGTCCAACGCTTCCACAACTCCCAGGAAATGGCATCGATTTCTTGGTCCCAATCGCAGTTCGAACGCCACAGATGTTGAATAATGATTTTGCCGTGTATGGTGAATCCCATCACATA